GTCAGGAGGGACCAGTCGCAGGAGAAGGATATCATGTTTGGTAAGGTGGAGGGTCAGAGAAAAAGAGGAAGACCCCCAATGAGATGGATTGGCCAGGTGGCAGCATCGATAGATTCAAGTGTGGCAATAGTGGTGTGGCTGGCTCAGGATCGGGCAGTGTTTCATTCTGCTGTGTGTAAGGTCACTATGGGTCAGTACCAACTTGATTGCACCTAACAACAATAACAATTAAATCTGTATACTGAGCAAATAATCTGAGAAGCTGGAGTACATGAAGAAGAATGTAGCATTAGGATTGGAGGAAGACTCATTAACAACCTGAGATATGTAGAAAACTCAACCTTGCTTGCTGGAAGCAAAGAAGATTTGAAACATTTACTGAGGAAGATCAAAGACTGCAGCTTTCAATATGGATTGCACCTCAATGTAAAGAAAATGAAAATTCTCAACCACTGGAGCAATAAAAACATAATGTAAATAGAGAAAAAGATTGAAATTGTCAAAGACTTCATTTTGCTGGGGTCCACAATCACTGCTCATGGAAACAGCAGTCCAGAACGAAACAACATATAGCATTGGCTAATCTGTTGCCAAAGACTTCTTTAAAGCATTAAAGAACAAAGATTCACTTTTAGGACTTTGATGTGCCTGGCCCAACCCATGGTATTTTTGATTGCCTTATATGCATGTGAAAACTGACAATGAATGAGGAAGCCCATAGAAGAATTGATATATTCGAATTATGGTGTTAGCAAGTATTATTGGAAATACCATGGAGTGCCAAAAGAATAAACAAGAAGTATAAACAATGCTCCCTAGATGTGAGGATGGTGAGACTTCAACTCTTACACTTTGCACATATTGTCAGGAGAGACCAGTCTATGGAGAAGGACTTCATACATGATAAAGTGGAGGGTCAGTGAAAAAGAGAAAGACTCCCAATGAGATGGATTCACACAGTGGCAGTTTGTTGTTAAGTATTTAAACATAACAATTCTAAGGATGAAGCAGGACAGGGCAGTGTTTCATTCTGTTGTGCATAGGGTTGCTGAGTAGTAACAACAACAACAATAACCTAATAACCTAACAACAACGACAATAACAACAGCTCTTTTCCTAAAAATCCCGTACTCTTTGATTTACATAATGTCAAAATGGCAGATTTGTCATCCTTGAAGGACTCGTGTCTTGTTCCTTTGAAATGTTATTTGAGTTTGGGGAACAAAAAGAAATCTGAAGGGGAAAGTTCAGGGCTGTTGGGTGATGGATGGGGTAAAGTTTCCCAACAAAATTCTCGTAGGACAGTCCTTGCTACCCTCAAAGAATGAGCAAGTGCATTGTTGTAGTGAGGGAAAAAATTCCTTGACACAAGTTTCCTGGCTTTTTGCTCACCAATTCAGTTTTAAGTTTTCTTAAAATGTCTGCATAATAAACCCCTGTGATCATTCTGTGCCTTTGAGAAAATCTATCAATCTGACTCCTTTGAAATTTCATAAAATACTCTCCACAACCTTTCTAGCTTATCTCTCTATCTTGAATTGGACTTGTCCAGCAGATCCCCTACTGGTGTGGAGCTGTAGGATAAGCACTGGACTACTAGCCACAGAGTTGACAGTTCACATTCATCAGCCACTCCTTGGAAATCCTCTAAAGGGCACCTGAGTGGAAAACCTAGGCCAAGGCTCTTAAGAGCAGCAACACTAGCAGCTCCCCAGAAGATTTTTGGGAAAGCACTCTATAAGACCAAAACACTTGTGTCACCTGGAGAACGTGACTGCAGCCAGCCATCCACTGATCACAGAGACACACTTTGCTTGGAATAAACCTGTGCATGTATGATGTGGGACCCTAGTAGTGATACTTTTTCACTTACCTTCATGTAAGGTCAAACATAACGTTCTGTGATTATTTTAGTGATACAAATTTTTAGACTTTTTCCATTTGATTTTTTTTTTTTTTTGGTGGTCGATGCAGACCCACCTGAGGTACACACTTTAATTTCTTAAAACACCAGGCTGGGCCTTTCCAGGGGCAGTGGGCTCACTCTTGGCAAGAGGGCAGCATGACAGGTCCCTGGGAAGAACACTTCCCTCCCCATCTCCATTCCTCCAGTTGCTCCTCTGAAATGTGCCTTCTCGCTGTATTTTTATAAATATTTGATCCAGGGTCCAGGTCATGTTTATTTGAATTTAAAGAAAAATAATTGGAATTAGTTATTAAAAAATATCATGTAATACCAAACGTGACACAAGACGGTCTTGCTGTTGTTGTCGTTAAGTACCGTTGAGTCGGTTCCGATTCATAGTGATCCCGCATAGGGTTTCTGAGGAGCGGTTGGTGGATTTGTACCGGGGATCTTATAGTTCCAAAACGACCTTAAAGTCAAGTGCTTATCCTATGGCACCACACCAGGTCTCCACAGATGGTCTAATAACTAGAAAATCAAACATCATTTATAGACAGCACCACTAAATGGGAATTGTGGAAAGCACAGATGATATGCAATGTAGTTATCTGTAGCTAACTGTTTCTAAGAGCAGACGTTTTAAGAAGAATACATTCATGAGATTCTGTTATCCTCTGATGACTCCATTCGGCTCTTCATAAATGAAGAGCATTAGTAATGATTTTGGAACTTCTGATTATATTTTGAGCTTAATGTATTTGTCTCAGTTTTAGGGCAAAACTAAAGACTTCTTAAACTGAGAGACAATTATTGTGACCTGGATTGATGGTAATAAATTATATAAAAATACAAGGTAAAAGGAATTCCAATTTGTTATTGGTAATGACTCTTATGTTCTCTTATTCATCAAATAGATGGAGAATATTCACTTTAATGCCATCAAAAAGTTGTGATCATGAGTTTAAAGAACCAGAGTGCGTTACTGAGAAACCAAATCTGAACTTCAAAGAGGTTGGGGTGAATGAGATACAAGAAGGGTCATTTCAGAGATCGGACAGTGTGGGCATTTTCTGTACTGACATTTAGCATCATCTCGTTCAAGCTACATGCTTTTACTACAGTCAAGGCCTAGTCTGTGACAGAAATTTGTCAACAGCACAGAAAACTAGTCCTTAGACATGGTGTCTTTTCTTCCTGGTGCTTGAAGGTCTATACATTTCCATTTCCATCACTAGCGGTTGTCTCGCTATAATTACTGCTTGCAGGGACTTTGCTTTTGTTTGTTTAGTTGGTATCTGTGTTGTACCATGCGTGGCATTAAAATAAACAAAAACGTCAATTTCTCCTGAAGTTAAAAAGTGTAAAGGTGTTTCTCTTACATCCTTCACTCTTCCATTTTAGCCCTTTGGACAGTACCGACATCGTGGAGGAGCGCTCCCCGTTCGGGGGCGGGAACAGGCGAAACCCCGCCTCCCCAACCCAATCCCAGCTCTCAGCCAGTGGACAGGAAGCAGCGACGGGCCTAGCAGCCCGAGAACCGAACTCCGTGCGCATGCGCAAGTCCCTGAGGCGCCTGGGGGAGGGGTGGGAGGAAGGGGTGCGGCTCCGCGTGCCCGTTGGGCGCCCGCGCATCACGTGGTGAGAAAGGAGGCGGAGGTCCGGGGCTCGGGGGAGGGGGAAAAAGAAGAGGGAAGGAGCGAGGGTAGGGAAGCGGGGAAGGGAGGAAGGAAACGAACGAGGGGGAGGGAGGTCCCTGTTTTGGAGGCGCTGGGAGCCTTGCCGGCCCCTGAAGTGGAGCGAGAGGGAGGTGCTTCGCTGTTTCTCCTGCCGGGGGAGGTCCCGGCTTCCCGTGGAGGCTCCGGACCAAGCCCCTTAGCGTCTCCCTCCGGATCGATGTGCTGCTGTTAACCCGTGAGGAGGCGGTAGCGGCGGCGGCAGCGGAAGATGGTGTTGCTGAGAGTGTTAATTCTGCTCCTCTCCTGGGTGCCGGGGCTGGGAGGTGAGATAGGACCCCGAGCGCCGGGGGCGCCGTGACTACGGTGGACCGTGCGGCGGCGGGAGCGGCGGCCGGGCTGAGTGGAGCCAAGTCGCGCCGTGCCGCGGGCGCGTCAGTCAGCCTGGCCGGCCGGCGGCGCCACTCAGTCGCGCGGCGCTCCTTGCTCCCCATTGTCCCCCTCGCCCCGACCGCGTTCCCTTCCGTCGCGGGCCGAGGAGGCTCCGAGCCCCTGGCGAGGCCTTCCCCGCCCCCACCGCCCCGGCTGCTGGGGAGGCGGGGGTCGCCTGGCAGAGAAGGAAAGTCGGCAGATCCAGTGGCCAGGCGAGAGCCGTGGAGCCCGGGCCGGTGTCTCCATCCCTCCCGCCTACTCCGCGGGTGCCGGGGCAGGCAGCCGCCACGGGGCTGGCTGTCTTTGCCGCCGTGGTTCAGCGCTCACACTTCGCACCTTCCGCCTCCAACCCTTGCCGGGTGGTGGATTTCAGAGTCCGCTGCGTCTCGGAGAACCGCCATGCAGACTCGTGGGAAGTTGCGATGTTTGCGGCTGGGCTTGTGTATTGTTGTTTACCGGGCGCGGTGATCCACACCGACCCGGTTCTGCAGAGCGGCCTCCCGTGGAGTGGTACCTGTCAGCTCCCACTTGTCTGAGACCGGTGGCTTCGGCTCGGCGTCGTGCCCTGCCTTTACCTGTGTGTTTGGAGAGATCGCAGGAAGGGGTGTTGGTTCTGTGAAAAGATTCTGTTGCCCAGGGGAAAGGGTTTGGTGGAGAGACGGTAAGTCGTTTTGGGAAACTCTTTGATCTAAAGGCTGGATTGGGTCGTGTAGAGTACAGGACGGCCCCTGGGTGACCCAACTTGAATAGTTTTGTTAAACTCGTAGATGGAGTAGACTTGCACTGTTGTTATTAGTGGATTGTCAAAACTGTGGCACCCCCTCCCCCCAGCTGCAAATTAGAGTTGATTTGCTAAAAGCATATAATCTCTTAGTGACTCAGGTCTTGAAGACCATGATTTTCAGTGTGTTTTCTTATGTAAAGTGCTTATTTAGGTAGTTTTCTCTGCTTGCTCCCAAAGTATATTTAAAAGCCTCAAAAAGTCTGCTTAAAAACATTAGATAGAGAAAATTTCAGGAATACTTTGCATGTATGTCTGTGACCTTATTTGGTGATGTAGAAATTATCGGAATATGCGCATAATGAATGGTTTCGCTCCTTTGTCACTTTGACTTAATGACTGTAGGGCATAAATTGTCCAATGATAACTTAGAACCACTGTCTAGGTCATCTTCTGTTGTTGTTTCTAATGTTCATTTGTTAGGTGCACATTTTACATACAGGCCTACAAGTAGATATTTGGTTTTAACGAATCATGCTCTGAACACCTTATGTAAAGGTCTTTTAAACTCTAAACATTTGTATTTACGCTCAGAATGTGGTTTCCACATTGCAAATAACTGTTCCTGTCTGCCAGGTTTCACTTTTAGGAGTTAGACACACTGTTCTCTATGAGACAGTGAAAAAGTAAGACAAACGATAGACCTTTTTAAAGTGCCTTTTACAAGAGTAGTTAGACTTCCTTTTGCTTTTTAAAATGGAAACAGTTGAACTTGATGTAGTCTGATGGTTGAAGATAAAGTAAATTAGCAGTCTTGCAGTTAGGAGCCTTGTTATCCAGAAATTTTCTAAATTCAGAACTCTGGAGTCCTTTGTAAAGTCTCTTATCATTTTGCCTGTAGCAATGGTAAAAAAGATTATGTGACTTTCTTAAGCAGACACTTCTTTGAACAAGACAATAATAGCAGTCTTTCATTTTAGAATTAGCATCAGGATTGCACCTTTTGACTAGTGTGTGGAGTTACTTATAATTTTATTGTAATGTGTAATTTCCATTTACTAACTGAGCTAAATAGTCAAATTGTAAGACATTAATAAGATGATTTGTGGAATAGATTACATTCAATTAATTACGTGTTTAGTTTATGAAGGAATTTAATTTGTGCATATTAGAAGTTGTATTGGATACACAAATTTAATTTCAAAGTATAAGTTATTTTGCTTTTCATATGGCTGCGTTGGGAAGCTGGAATCGTTAAACTTAAATTTCCTAATATAAAGGGACTTCAGAAAATTCTGGGAAAATGAGCTGGGAAAACTTTCCCAGAAAGTTCTGGGAAAATGTGCTATGAGTTGGCACATAACAACAACAAATAGGGTAGACACATGTTAACTTAGGTGAAGGGAAATATAAATATACAACAAGAGAGGGAGGTTGGTAGAGAAAGGATGAAGGAGTTAAAGTGAATAGTGGTGAATAGTATTAACCGATGGTACATGAAGAGGATTGCAGTTATTGTAATGAAATTAAATATCTGATTTGTTGAATGTGGGACTAATGAATGATCTGCTCTGTTAAAACCTTCACTCAATTCACAATAAAAAGTTGGAAAAAAAAGTTTGTGTAAAAATTCTATTATCTTTTAATTCATTTTTCCATGAACTTTTTTTTTTTTTTAACTAGGTGTTTTTTTTTTTTTTCCCTAAGTTTTTATTGTGAATTATGTGATAGTTTACATGGGAGAACATTAGCTTTGCATTCATCCTATTGTATTTCATTTCATTGCCATGATTACAATCTCCTCCATGCCTAATCAAACAACCAAACCGTCTCTGGGTAGGGTCCTGCACTCTGCTCTTCTCCCTGGATAGTCCCAGGGACCTCCTCTCCTGGACTGCAAAGTCAGCCACTCCCCTCCTTTTGTTACCAGTCTGTCTGTCTTTACATTTCCAACCCTCACCTCACAGTCAGTCCTGATAGCAATTATTCACTATTGTACCACAAGAGTCTTATCCCTGTCTCCTTTCATCAGCCGGGTCCAGACAGTTTGGAAACCACTCAGTGGAGATTCTACCTTCCCGTGCACCCTCTTACATGAACTTTTTGAAGCCCTATTGTAGCATCTCTTTCTAGCACATGTCCTAATCTTGTGTTGTATTTCTAGGAGGATACCATAGATTTTCTAGAGTTCAGTTAGTATAGACATGTCCTCAAATTCAGACATTAAAATACTTTTCTTGTTATTTGAAGCCACATAAGAAGTGTATTGGAAATGGTTGCTGTGAGTTGGAATTGTCTTGATGGCAATGGATTTTTAATATATTACTCTGATTAGATATAGTCCAAATAATTTTTACATATGTGAGTGGTATTTTTAAACTAAGAGATGCTGGAGACTTAATGCTCATTTTTTGAGTTTGAAAAGTTAAAAGCTGTTTTCAGCTGTAGCAGTTAATTGGTTTGATGAAATCTTCATACATGAACTGCATTTTGGAGCTTAATTTATTTTTTACATTGAAAAAACTGGTGTAAATGCACTCTATAGAAATAGGTTTTCTGGAAGTTTTGCTGTGGTACTTGGCTAAAAGTATTAAAGCTTAGCCTTAAACTAATTAGTCCTCTTTTACCAGTATATAAAGGTCTATGTAAGGTAATGTAAGAGGCATATGTCTTTATCTTTAAGGTGCTCTGGCTAGTCCTCTTTTACCAGTATATAAAGGTCTATGTAAGGTAATGTAAGAGGCATATGTCTTTATCTTTAAGGTGCTCTGGCTAGTCCTCTTTTTTGACTTGCTCCAAGAATATTTAAAAGCTTCAAAGTGTGCTTAAAATTTGAAATTGACAGTCCAGTTAGCTCTGCCATCTTAAGACCCATTTCAAGTCATCTCCTACATTAACAGTATCTTTTGGGTGTATACACTGTGCATATCAGGGAGTGATACTTTAGAACACAGATACATATGTTAGGATGAGGAGAATGGGCCTGTCAGACGCCTCTCTGTTTTTTGATATCTGTTTTTGTAACTTGCTTAAGGTCTTCAAGAATGTATATTATCTGATCTTTAAAAATTCTAAGGACTCAAAAGGGAATTGCTAAGTGTTGTCTAGTTGGTTCCAACTCATAGCCACACTGTATAGGGTTTCTGAGGAGCTGCTGGTGGGTTTGAACCACCGACCTTGTGGTTCAAAGTGACCCTGTGGTCCAGTGCTTACTTTCTAATGCCACACCAGGACACCAAAGGAGAATTGGAGTCAGGGAATTAAGGTGGGGAAATTAGAGGCCATTTCCATGATACCTGTGTATTACTGATACAGTATTAGAAGTTCCCCTTTCAAATTTTGCAGTTCAGGACACTGAGACTTACCGCAACAACTAACTACCTGCTAAGTAGTGAACTAGGCATTCACGCTCAAGCCAGTTTGACCTCACTGCCCCTTCATACTTCCTTTAATAGCAGTTTTCACAGGTTAGCTCAAAGGTGGCTTTTGGACTGAACACTGTAGACATGTGTTTAGTTTTATTTGCACAGTTTCTTTACATTTCAACTAGTAACATTATTGAAAAAATTAAGACATTTTTCAATGAAATTAGTAGATTTCTATATTTGTTTTTAAGGCTTGGAAACTCAGGTACTTCTGGATTGCTTTCCCATTGTCAAGAACCAAGCGGTGGGGCAGTAACTGCCTTCCTTAGACTAGGCATGTTGTTACCAATCACTGCAGTTTCCCTTTTCCTGCTGGTAATACACCTGGCCTAGTTCACTCAGTTTTGTTACCTGCTTGTTACCTGTAGGCATGTTGCTTATATCACTGCCTTAGTTTCTTTTTATTTTAAACTTTTAAAAAAGTTACTTACTTTCTTCTTTTTTTAACCAAAAGTAGGTTATTAACTATTAAAAAAATTAGTTTTCAAAATAATAGCATAGTTTGAAGATCTTTAAGAAAAAAATGAAGATTATAATTTATCAAATCTCTTTAATCTCAATGAGCAAATAAAGTATGAGATGAGACCCACAGAAAAATTCAGTGGAAGGCCACATAAAGAAAAACAGGCTTTTTTTCTTTTTAGAATGACATCTATAAACATAAACTCTGTTTTTGAAAGTAAGAAAATGCCATGGAGCACTAAATTCTATGATAACCTATACTTTTCTAGCATTGTTGGAAGATGAC